ATTCTTTGTTTAACTTTGTACTCCATTTTTTAATTAGATTACTTGATTTGTTGTTGTTTAACTTCTTGAGTTCATTATATATTGTGTATATTAGACTTCTGTCAGATATAAAGATATTGATAAAGATTCTTTCCCAATCTGTAGGATATCATTTTGTTCTGAAGACTGTTAATCTTAGAGACTGTACTGTTGGTATTTTGTTCTGGAAGTTGTCTACTGTGCCAGTGAGCTCAAGGCTCTTCCCTATTTTTTCTTCTAACGGGTTTAGTGTATATGGTTTTGTAAAGAGGTCTTTGATCCACTTGGACTTTAGTTTTGTTCAGGGTGATAAATATCGGTCTATTTGCATTTTTGTACATTTAGATATCCAGTTAGACCATAACCATTTGTTAAAGATGCTGTCTTTTTTTGCATTGTATAGTTTTGGCATCTTTTTTCAAGAATCAGTTGTCCATAAGTATGTGGGTTTATTTATGGATCTTCTGTTAGATTACATTCACACACCAGTTTGTTTCTATGCCAGTACCATGTAATTTTTAATTACTGTTGCTCTATAGTTAAGCTTGAGATCAGGGAGATGGAGATACTTCCAGAAGATCTTTTACTGTACTGGTTTGTTTTAGCGATTCTGGGTTTCTTGTTATTCCATATGAAGTTGAGAATTTTTTTTCAAAGTATGTAAAGAATTGTATTGGTAATTTGATGGGAATTGCATTGAATCTGTAGATTGCTTTTGGTAAGATGGCCATTTTTATTATGGTAATTCTGACAAGTCATGAACATGGGAGATCTGTCCATCTTCTGATATCTTCTTCTATTTCTTTCTTCAGATCCTGAAACTTTTTTTTTTTTCCCATACGAGTCTTTGATATGCTTGTTTAGTTACATCAAGGTACTTTATATCTTTTTTTACTATTGTGAACAGTGTTGTTTTGTTAAGCCTGGCACAAATCTGTTAGGCCTGGCAGGAGCCTAACTATCTGAGAGGCAACTGAAGAAAACTCTTGGAGGCTATATAGATGCAAATGCAAGAGGTTTACTCAGGCCAACGTGCAATGGGGTCAGTCTGCATGTCAGCAAAGAGAGAGAGGCAGCCAGAGACAAAAGCTTCGGTTTTTTAAGGGAGGAGGCATGGGGAAGCTCAGGGGTCCCAGTCTTGACAACTCATAATTGGATGAAGGGCTAGGGTAGTTGACTTTTAAAATAATTGGTTGGTTTTCAGGTCTGGTCAGTAGTGACCAAGGTACCTGGGGAATATCTGATCTTTAAGTCATGTTGGGAATTTCCTGCTAGTGTGGATGTGGCTGCAGTTAAAGGTGGGAGGGCTCATCCTGTATCTTCTCTGAAAATCAAGCCTGCGGGTCTTTGGTCAAAGGTCAGGGGATGTTCAGGAGAAGAATTGAGGCCATCTGAGTTAATTGCTAGGCAATGTTATCTCTCAAGGGTGGATCTGGTCATTCTTCTTTGCTTAGTGGAGGTCTTTACTTGCTCACTTCCTTATCTCTGCCTACACAGATGACCAGAGTCTGGGGCGGTTACATTCCTCCGTTCTCTGGAAAAGTACTGTGAGGCTTTAATTAACACTTTAATTAACACGGGCCTGAAACTTGAAAATATAGGTTACAAAGTTAGTCTGATTGCTCCAGTTTCCCTTATTTCTTTCTCAGGGCAACAGAATTTTTTTTTGAGTTAATTTTGTATCCAGCCACTTTGCTGAAGGTGTTTATCAGCTGTAGGAGTTCCCTGGTAGAATTTTTGGGGTCTTTCATGTATACTATCATATCATCTGTAAAGAATGATACTTTGACTTCTTCCTTTCTGAACTGAATCACCGTGATCTCCTTTAATTGTCTTATTGCTCTAGCAAGGACTTCAAGAACTATGTTGAAGAGATAGGGAGAGAGTGGGCAGCCTTGCCTTGTGATTGCAGTGAGATTGATTTAAATTTCTCTCCATTTATTTTGATGTTGTCCATAGTCCTGCTGTGTATTGTCTTTACTGTGTTCAGGTAAGAGCCTGACTTAGGTGTCTTTCTTGTATGCAACAGAAGGTTGGGCCTTGTTTACATACCCATTCTGTTAGTCTTTTTTGTTTTGTTTTGTTTTGTTTTGTTTTGTTTTTTTAGAGTTGAGTCCATTGATTTTGAGAGAGATTAATGGCCAGTGGCTGTTAGATGCTTTGATTTTACTGTTGGTTGTGGTAGTGTGTTTGTGTGCTTGGCTACTTTTAGTTTTGTTGTAGTAAGGTTATTTATTTTCTGTGTTTTCCTGAATGTAGCTAGCTTTCCTGAGTTGTATTTTTCCTTCTAGTATCTTCTGTAATGCTGGATTTGTGGGTAGGTATTGTTGAAATTTGTTTTTGTCATTGAATATCTTGTTTCCTTCATCTATGAAGACTGAGAGTTTTGCTGGGTATAGTAACCTGGTTTGATATTTGTGTTCTCTTAGGGTATATGATATCCTCCCAGGCTCTTCTGGCTTTCATAGTCTCTGTTGAGAAGTCAGGTGTGATTCTTACTCGTTTACCTTTTTATGTTACTTGACATTTTTCCTTTGCACCTTTTAATATTTTTGTCTTTGTTCTGTATACTTACTGTTTTGATTATTATGTGGTGGGAGTATCTTTTTGGTCTAATTTATTAGGTGTTCTGTAGGCCTCTTGTATGCTTATAGGTCTCTCCTTTAAATTAGGAAAATGTTATTCTATGATTTTGTTGAAAATATTTTCTGGGCCTTGGAGATGTAAATTTTCTTTTTCCTCTATTCCTATTATTCTTAGGTTTTGTCTTTTCATGTTGTCTTGAATTGCTTGGATGATCTGTCTCAGGAATTTTTTTTTCAATTTAACATTTTCTTTGATGGATACATCAATTTCTTCCATTGTACCTTCCACTCCTGGAATTCTTTTTCTATCTCCTGTAGTCTGTTGGTTTTGCTTACCTCTGTAGTTCCTATTTTATTGCCTAAGTTCTTCCTTTCCATGATTCCCCTGTGTTTTCTTTTATTTTCCCAATTCTATCTTCATATCTTAAGCCATTTTGTTGATTTTCTTCAACTTTCTGACTCTATTTTTCTGTTTTTCCTTCAATTCCTTCACCTATTTGTTTGAACATTCAACTGTTTCTTTTATATCTCTTAGTGATTTAATTATTTCCTATCTGAAGGCCACAAACTGGCTGCATCTTCTTGTGTTTCTTTATGGATCACCATAATCTATTTGTCTTCATCTTTCTCTATTTCTATACAGGTGGACATAATCTGTTTGACTTTATCTTCCTCTATTTCTTTAAGCATTTTATTTGTTCCCTTTATTATCCTTTTTATAAGCATAGATGTAAGGTCATCTTGAATTTCACTTATGATAGGGTGTCCGGGCTTGCTTGTTCCTGGATAACTGGGTTCTTGAGATTCCATATTGCTTGGTTGAGTTATATGCTGGCCTCTACCCAATGGGCTGTCTCAGTTGTTACCTGTTAGTTTATGGTGCCTGCTGGAATCCTGGGTTGGGGAGGACCCCCCTTTGTAAGAAGATGATTTTTCCTGAAGGAGGCCTCCTCAGCTTTTGGGGTATGGTAACCAAATGGCCGATGCTTTTAAGGAATTGCCAGAGCTCACCTCAGGCCTATGGACCTGAGGGGTAACTGGGGTCTTTGGTAGTATTGGGGGCTCTCTTCTCACCAGGAGAAGTCCTGGAGACAGTTGTCCTGCTGCTTGGTTTCTTGCTCTGAATTTAGTGTGCCACTGCTGCTGCTCTTACACAGTGTTTTCTGGGCACAGCCCTTTTGAAGAACGAGGAGCCCCACAGTTTGGTAAGTTTAGCTAGGGATACCTGGTTTTACCTTGTAGCAGTATCTGGGGAATGATCCCATGGATTCCAGGCTTCTGTAGGTCTGAGACTGGAGCTCTGTGCCCCAGTACCCAAATAAGAATCAGTGGCATGTAAGCACATCACTCATGTGTGCATCAGGAGGCTAGAGCCTGGAGACTGCTGGAACACAGAAACTTTTCCTGAGCTGGATTTCCTGAGGTCGGACCTGATATTTCCCATACTGAGGGGTTTCCTCCCAACAGGGAGACCCCAGTCTGTGGTCTGTGGTGTTTGGGGGTCCACAGTTCTTTCTGGGATGATGGGTATATCATGCAGGCACAGGCTAGAGGTTCCATGTTGGTGACTGGGCTCTAGCAGGAATCCAGGATCTTTTCCTGAGGATTTTATTTTTTATGGGGGGGTGGGGTGGTGGCTGAGTGCCTTGAGTTTGGACTGGTGTTTACCTCATCATGGGGTTTCCTCACAACAGAGAAACTCAGTCTCTAGTTCCCTGGGGCCCACAGTTCTGCCTGGAACAGTGAGTCAGGAGAGCAAACAGGTCTCTGGGCTTGTGGCTGAGTGCCTGCCAGAGTTGGGTGCACAGACACATCTCTGTGCTGGTGGCTGAGAGTGTGCCAGACCCCGGGTCCTTTTCCAGGGATTGTCTGGGTGATCTGAAGTCAATCCTGATTGCTTTCTTCACCATGGGGTTTTCCTTTGACTGGAAATCTCAGTCTCTGGTGTTGTGGTGCCCACAGTTCAGTCTGGGATGAGGATCAGAGCATGTAGGCATGTGTCTCTGAGCTGGCAATGGAGTGCCTGCTTGGACCTGGGAACTCTTCCGGGTTTTAGCTGGGTCACCTGAAACCGATTGTTTCCCACACCATGTAGTTTCCTCTCACCTGGGAAACACAACTGCTGATGTTTTAGGTCCCATAGTTCTGTCTGTTGATCGCTGTGCAGTCACTGCTGTCCTGCTCATCAGACATAGTGTCCTGTTGGCACTGCTATCTTGGAACACCCTCTGTCTTACCTTTTCGAACACTGCTCTGTTTTTATATCTTTATTTTATTTATGTTTTTGATTAGAAACACTTTTTAATGTTTTAAAGCTATTATATAACTATTATACTTCATTTACTCCCTGTTTTATCTGTACATCCTATAACTTATATCTTTCTCTTGTGAACCTAGGCCATCGACCTCTGTGATCCAAATCCAGTGCTGATGCTAATGCTCTGCGTCTACATGTATGAAAGGCTCCCTACATACCTCCCCAAGAAAGTGGTACCATTCTCTTGTACTCTGTATGAGTCTGTGCATGGACAGGTAAGATGGTAGTTAGGACCAAAGCTCACATGGAATGAAATATTTAAGGGAGTTTTAGATGATGTTTTCCTAAAAAATTAATAGCAAATGTCTATGTGATACAGTTTTACTGAGATTGAACAAGGTTTGTCAAATAGTTTCTTCTAACAAAAAAATAATAAAGGAGCAATTTGTGCTTAGTAATCCTCACTTGATATAAAAATTATTCCTTTCTCATTCATAACTTATAGAATATAATAATCTTCTATATGGCTGTTAATTAAACAATTTTAAAAGATTCATATTTTTTCTTTTCTCAGCTTGTTTTATGTATTCATCTTTATGTACATTTGGGATGAGGTTTAATTTAATATTCTTCTTTCCAATATCCCGGAATTTGTCTTCAAAATTATGACATTGTGACCATTAACTTTATTATCTTTTAATAAAAACCAGTATAGGTTATTGATTTGAATGATGGTTTATATTGATTTAGTTAATTATCAGGAAGATTTTAATTTTTTTTCTCAAAGTATTGAATGCTCACTTTAAGGAAAAAAACAGGGTCTTCTAAATTTTTATTAGAAAACATTAAACTGGCATTTCTTTGCTTTAATTGCATTTGTTTCATTCTTGCTGTCAAAAAATAAATATGAGTTTTATTAGGAGTGTTGATTGTAGCAATTCCCTAAATGCTATGAAAGTGAAGGATCTTGGCTAGAAACTATCATTGTACTGGAAGGCTTTTACTTGTAAAAGAAAGCATCATAATTGGAAGTGTTTTGTTTAAATTTTTAGGAGAGAGAGCCTCAACAATTCTCAGTACTTATTTTTATTTATATCATGTTTATATCTCTTTATATTTCTTGTTTCCTGTTATTTACTGATCTCTCATCCACTCTGTGTGAGTATATCTTCACATGCATGTACAATTGTGTTTACCCTTATGTACATATGGAAGTCAGAAAACAAATTGTGGGAGTTGGTTATCTATTTCCACTGTGTGGTTCTCGGGGATAAAACTCAAGCTTGCAAGTTTAGATGCAGATGTCTTTTCTTTTTGATCATGTGACCAGCTCTTGTTTCTGCTTATTCAAAGTGATCAATAACGTACTAAGCTGCTGCTCAGTGACTGTGCATGTATTTGTCAAGCATAGGACTGTAAAACTAAGGAAAATGTTAATACTAAAATAATTTTTAAAAGTATCCTTCTGTTATTATGTTTGTGAAAAAAAAAAGGGATGAAATTCAAGTCTTTATATATACCAGGCAAGAGCTGTTCCTGTCCTCTCAACCACCAATCCAACATCAGCTAAGGATTAAATGTAAGCATGTATTAATATGTTAAAAGATTTGAAGCCATTCAAATGAGAACTATGTCTCTCATTTCTATATTTATTAAAAGTTATCTTTGTCATGGAATATTTTGTTTTCTTGATCTATGTTGATTGAAAGTTTTGCTGTTCATAGTAGTCTGGATTGACACCTGTGTTCTCCTAGAGTCTGCATAACATCTTTCCAGGCCCTTCTTACTTTCATGGTTTGTGTTGAGAAATCTGGTGTGATTCTAATAGCTCTACTTTTCTATGTTACTTGACCTTTTTCCCTTGCAGTTTTAATATTTTGTCTTTTTAAAAAATTATATATTTTTATTAATTACAGTTTATTCAGTTTGTATCCTAGCTGTACCCCATCCCCCATCCCTTCCCAATCCCATCATTACTCCCTCATCTCCTTCTAAGTCCCTCTCCAAATCCACTGATAGGGGAGATCCTCCTCCTTTTCCATCTGGCCCTAGCCTCTCAGGTCTCATCAGTAATGGCTGCACCGTATTCCCCTTACTTGGGAACCCACATTGATACTGGGCTACCATGTGCTATATCTATGTAGGGGTTGTAGGTTATCTCCATGCACTGTCCCTGGTTGGAGTATCAGTCTCAGAAAAGACCCCTGTGCCCAGACGTTTTGGTTCTGTTGCTCTCTTTGTGAAGCTCCTGTCCTCTCCAGGTCTTTTTATATCCCCCTTCTTTCATAAGATTTCCTGCATTATGCCCAAAGTTTGGTTTTGAGCTTTAGCACCTGCTTTGATATGCTGCTGGGTAGAGTCTTTCAGAGTCCCTCTGTGGTAGGCCTGTTTCCTGTTTTCTCCCTCTTCTAATGTCCATCCCATTTGCCTTTCTGATTGAGGATTGATCCTCTTACCCAGCGTCCTCTTTCTTGCTTTGTTTTTTTAGGTGAACATATTTTAGTATGTTTATTCTATAGTCTATCTCTAATACCCACATATAAGTGAGTATATACCATGTGTGTCTTTCTGCTTCTGGGATACCTCATGCAGGATGGTCTTTTCTAGATTCCCCCATTTGCCTGCAAATTTAATGATTCCCTTGTTTTTAATTACTGAGTAGTATTCCATTGTGTAAATTTACCAGTATCTGTTGTTATGTCCCAATTTTTGTTACTGATTTTGCTGATTTGAACAGTTTCTCTCTGCCTTTTATTTAGTTTTTCTAAGAGTTTGTCTATGTTGTTGATTTTCTCAAAGACCCAATTCTTGGTCTTATTGATCCTTTGAATTATTCTCTTTTTTTCCTAATTCACTGATTTCAGCTCTGAGTTTGATTATTTCCAATAGTCTACTCCTCTTCTTTTTTTGTCTGCTTCCTTTTTTTTCCTAGGGCTTTTATGTGTGCTGTTAAGTTGCTTGTATGAGATGTCTTAAACTTCTTCCTAGAGGCACTTTGTGCTATGAAATTTCTTCTTAGTACTGCTTTCATTGTGTCCCTTAAGTTTTGGTAAGTTGTGCCTTAAGTTTTCTTGAATTTTAGGAAGTCTCTATTTTTTTTTTTCATTTCTTCCCTGACCAAGCTAAGTAAAGAGTTGTTTAATTTCCATGTGTATATAGGCTTTTTATTATTTATATTATTCTTGAGCTCTAGTTTGAGGCCATTGTGGTTTGATAGGATACAAGAGATTATTTCAATCTTATATCTGTTGAGCCTGACTATATTTCTTTGTGCCCGACTATAAGGTTAATTTTTGAGAAAGTTCCATGGGGTGTTGAAAAGAAGGTATAGTCTTTTTTTGAGGGGTGTAAAGTTCTGTAGGCATATATTTGATGTACATTTGATTTAGGACCTCTGAAAGTGTCATTATTTCCCTATTTAGCTTCTGTCTAAATGATATGTCTTTTGGTGAGAGTGGAGTGTTGACTTCTTTCACTATTAAAGTGTTGGAATCAATGTGTGATTTAAGCTTTAATAATGTTTCATTTACAAATGCAGGTGCTCTACTATTTGGGGTATAGATGTTCAGAATTGTGATGTCCTCCTGATAGATTTTTCCCTTGATGAGAATCAAATTTCCCTCCTCATCTTTTTTATTAATTTTGGTTGAAAGTCTATTTTATTAGATATTAGGATAGCTACTCCAGATTTTTTTCTGGGTCCATTTGCTTGAAAAACATTTTTCCAGCCCTTCACTCTGAGGTAGTGTTTATCTCTGTTGCAGAGGAGTTCCTTGGATGCAGCATAATGTTGGATCCTGTTTCTGCACCATTCTGTTTGTCTGTGCCTTTTTATTGGAGAATTGAGGCCGTTGATATTAACAGATATTACTGATCAATGAATATTAGTTCTTATTATTGTGGAGTAGGTGGTAGGCTAAAGCCTGGAGTCGAACAGTTCTTGAATCAGGGGTGAGTTGTGAAAGAAAATTCAGTAAACCAACACACTACACATGGGATCTGTTCAAGAGGGCTTTCTGTATAAACTAGTCACTCAGGATATTCCAATAATCTTTTTTTATAATAAGAGACAAGCACCTCAGTACAACGAAGGAGTACAATTTGCCTGAAAATTTTTATAATTTCCTTTGGTTTTGATTGCTAATAGTATTCCATTGTGTAAATGTTCCACAATTTCTGTATCCATTTTTCAGTTGAGGACATCTAGGTTGTTTTCAGATTCTGACTACTATGAATAAAATTTCCATGAACATAGTTGAGCAAACTTCCTTGTTGTATGGTTGAGCATATCACATATATATGTATATATGTAATATACGCATATAGCGGTATACATGGATCGTGAGGTACGACTATTCCTAATTTTGTCAGAAAGCAACAGATTGATTTCCCAAGTAGTTATAAAATTTTATGTTCCAACTGGCACTGGAGGAGGTCTCTCCTGTCTCCACAGCCCCTCTAGAATTTGTTCCTTGAGTTTTCAATCTTAGCCATTCCAATGGGTGTGAGGTAGAATCTTGGGGTCCTTTTTGTTTGTATTTCTAGATGACTAAGGACACTGAGCTCTTTTTAAATGTTTCTCTGCCTTTCAGTATTCTTCTGTTGAAAATATTCAGTTTAACATTGTACACCATTTTTTTAATGGATTACTTGGTTTGTTGGTGTTTAACTTCTTGAGTTCTTTATATATGTGTTTCTCCCTTATTTTTCTGAATTTCCGTTCTGTTTGCATATATTTAAAATTATATCAAGAAACATACCCTCAATAGTGAAGTAGCTGTGTGATTATTATTATTATTTTATTGTTATCACTGTTATTATTTATCTCCTTTTTCCTCTTCTTGTCTTCTTTCTCTTCTTACCCTGCTTCTGATCTTCTTATATCTTTGTCCTACCCAACTTCTTCCTTCTCTTCCTTCTTCTTCATACTATCCATGCTTGTAGCAAAAAGCCTACACAAACATGGAAACTGAAAATTTTGCTATTCAATTACAGGTGGGTCAGGGAAGAAATGAAAAAAAAAAAGAAATTAAAGACTTCCTTCCTAGAATTCAATGAAAATGAAACAGTGTACTCAAACTTATGGAACACAATTACAACAGTGAGGAAAGTTCATAGTAATAACTGCTTTCAGAAAGAAATTAGAGGCATCTCATACAAGAAACTTCACAGTGCACCTGAAAGCCCTAGAAAAAAAAAGTAGCAGACATACCCAAGAGGAGTAGACAGGTTGAAACCATCAAACTCAGGGCTGGAAACAGTTAGCTAGAGACAAAGAGAACAAAGAATCAATGAAACCCAGATCTGGTTCTTTGAAAAAATCAACAAGATAGACAAATCCTTGGCCAAATTAAATAAAAGGCAGAGAGACACTATCCAAATCAAGAAATTCAGAAATGGTCAAAGAGCCTGCCATTGAGTTCCTGTTAGAAATAGTCCTTGTTCCCCTTACTATGGGAAACCAGTTGGTAACTGAGCTACCATGGGCCACATCTGAGCAGAGGTTCTAGGTTATATCCATTCATGGTCTTTGGTTGAGTGTCAGTCACAGAACCACGGGCCACATCCGAGCAGAAGTTCTAGGTTATATCCATTCATGGTCTTTGGTTGAGTGTCAGTCTTAGAAAAGACCCTGTGCCCAGATATATTTGGTCCTTGTGGAGCTCCTATCCTCTTCACTCTCCAAGGGAGGAACAGTACTGTTAGGCCACAGAGGAGGACTTTGCAGCCAGTCCTGAAAATACCTGATAAAACAGGGTCAGATGAAAGGGGAGGAGGTCCTCCCCTATCAGTGGACTTGGAAAGGGGCAGGGAGGAGATGAGGGAGGGAGGAGATGAGGGATTGGGGAGGGAATGAGGGAGCAGGATACAGCTGAGATACAGAGTTAACAAAATGTAACTAATAAGAAAAATAAAATAAAAAAGAATAGGTCACTAATTCTTAAAAAAAAAGAAAATCAGAAATGAAAAGGAGGACATAAAAATATAGACACTGAGAAAATCCAAACAATAATTAGGACTTACTTCAAAAGCTTATATACCACAAAATTTGGTGATTGATTCCACTTACCAAAGCTGAATCAAGAACAGGTAAATAAATTAAATATTAAATAGTCCTATATCCCCTATGGTATATTGAAACTATCATCAAAACTCTCCCATCACACACACACACACAAAAGCCCAGTGCCACATGGTTTCAGCCCGGAATTCTACCAGGCTATCAAAGAGCTAACTCCAATACTCTTCAAACTATTTCACAAAATAAAAACAGAAGGAACATTAACAAACTCATTCTATGAATCCACAGTCACCTTGATTCCTAAACCTCACAAAGACCCAACAAAGAAAGAGAATTTCAGGCCAATCCTTCTTGTGATCATAGATGAAAAAAACTCAACATAATACTCACAAAACGAATCCAAAAACACATCAAATATATCATCCACTATGACCAATTATGTGTCATCCCAGACATGCAGGGGTGTTTCAATATATGGAATTCCAAAAAATAAAATAAAATAAAAAGGAAGGAAAAAACACCCCACATCATCATCTCCTTAGATGCTGAAAAAGCATTTGATAAAATCCAATACTTATTCAGGTTTAAAGTTCTGGAGATATCAGGGATAAAAAGCACTTACCTAAACATAGTAAATACGATACACAGCCAGCCTATAGCTAACATCAGACTAGTTAAGTAATCAAACTGATTAACTAATTAATCAAATTAATACCACCGAATTCAGGGACAAGTCAAGGCTGCCCACTCTCTCCATATCTCTTCAACATAGTGCTGGAAGTCCTTGCTAGAGAAATAAGACAGTTAAAGGAGATCAAGGAGATTCAAATCAGAAAGGAAGAAGTCAAAGTATCACTATTTGCAGATGATATGATAGTCTACATGAATGACCCCAAAATTCTAATAGGGAACTCCTACAGCTGATAAACACCTTCAGCAAGGTGGCTGAATACAAAATTAACTAAAAAAGTCAGTAGACCTCCTGTATATAAAAGACAAATGGGCTGAGAAAGAAATTAGGGAAATAACACCCTTCACAACAGCCAAAAAAAGACTTAAAGTACCTTGGTGTAACTATAACCAAGCAATTCAAAGACTTGTATGATAAAACTTTAAATCTCTGAAGAAAGAAATTGAAGAAGATATCAGAAGACAGAAAGATCTCCCATGTTCATTGCTCATCAGGATTCTGATAGTGGAAGAGAATGAGTTTCAAGCCAGCCTGGGATATGTAGTGAAGCCCTGTCCAAAATGCATGTAAAATCTAAGTCTTACACATTTCAGTTAATAGCATATATTAAGCTGAGTATTTTCATGTGCAGAATGTCTAAACTTCTGTGTTAAGGGTAAAAATTGGTGCATTTGTATAGGCTTTAATTTTCCTTATTCCATTTCTTCATCTACATAGATTTTATTGAAAAATCCAAGCTTGAAGAATTTAGTGTATACAGCTTCAATTGTTGGAAGAGATGCTGCTGACTTCTGTCTCACCCAGACTGGGAAGGTTATAACAGTTTCCCCAAAGTGAGTGTTTTAAAAATATTCTAAATTACAGAACTTGTCGGATTAAATTACAGAACAGTTAATATTTATAATAATTACTTAAATGTGAGTTTTATTTTTCTAAACTGGTAGATACATAATGAAATCCTTTCACTGAGAAATTGGACATTTGTTTTTTTCATATTCCGTTTTAATTTTGTCAAAATAATTCTACTGATATAAAAATGTTAATTTTAAGCATGTATTTAATTAATTTTAATTTAATTTATGTGTATATGGGTCATAGTGGCAACATTAAAAATTATTTGTTTATATATTACAAGTCTGTTTCATGAATGAAATGCAACTAGTACATACAAACAGTATATATAATTTCATAATATATTGCAATATGTGTAATTTCTGATTATTATGGCAACATAGTCATGATTGAAATATAGAACCTATGGAAGAAGGAAGAACAAAATAGGTAAATTCTTTAAAATTCTGCTTCCAAAAATCACTGATATAACCATATTTCTTTACCCTCTCATAATTATTTTATTGTGCATGTAAAAATGGTAAATAGATATATAGGTGATTTATATGGATATACATATGCTTCTAGTTATGATATGTGAAGTAATATATAATTACTATTTGTTTCAAATTTATTCAGTTATGTTGCATACTCATCCATGTACTGCAGAATGGACAATCCCAGAAATTATAATTGTATACTTTATCTCATTGCTATATCCCATAAGCTTAAAACAGAATACGTGAGTTAAGCATTATCTTAAAATTTCTTAATTTAATATGGTGTTCTTGCATACAATTTGAGCTCCAAAACTCAGGAATGACTCCAATATGCAAAATCCTTTATTTTCAATGAAATTTTATTTTCAATGAACTTTCACCCCATGAGTCTTTCATAGTGTTCCTTTTACACAAAATTTAGGTAACAAATGACACATCTGAATATAAGCCCACCTGTTGTATGTGGCATGTGATTTTCCCTACAAAAATATTGTTTGTACATTTCTGATAATTTCCTTGCTCTTTGCTGCTCCCTCAACAATTAAATGATGTTCTATGGACTGTGAAAATTGAGATAAGGTTTTACAGCAAGGGAATCTCTATCCATGTTCAGTATTAATATTTTTATGTTAAAGGAATTTATATTAGGTGATAATTTGTACAAAATAACTTACTATTATACAGAAAATGATAATTATTTTAAAAGTTTAAAAAAAAACAGTGGTATAAAAATGTTACTTATGATTTGGAGCCATGACAAGGTGAAGCAAGGCTGAAATATTCAGTGGTGAAAACCCAGCTTATTCTTTTACTTACATGAAAAGTCCATTACTTACATGAAAAGTGAAAGCAAGAAGTACCAGATTTCTTTTTTTTATTTATTATTCTTTATTTTTTTATTTTTCTTTTTAGTTACAATTTGTTAACTCTGTGTCCCAGTTGTATCCCGCTCCCTCATTCCCTCCCCCTCCCCAACTCCCTCCCTGGTCTCCTCCCTGCCCCTTTCCAAGTCCACTGATAGGGGAGGACCTCCTCCCCTTTCATTTGACTCTGTTGTATCAGGTATCTTTAAGGCTGGCTGTAAAGTCCTCCTCTGTGGCCTAACAGGACTGCTCCTCCCCTGGGGGGGAGGACAAAGAGCCTGCCCTTGAGATCCTGTTAAAAATAGTCCGTGTTCCCCTTGCTTTGGAAAACTACTTGGTTACTGAGCTACCACGGGCCACATCTGAGCAGAAGTTCTATGTTATATCCATAGATGGTCCTTGGTTGAGTGTCAGTCTCAGAAAAGGCCCTGTGCCCGGATATATTTGGTACTTGTAGAGCTCTGTACAAGGGAAAACCAAAGAGAACAAAGTTGACTTCATGATAGATGGGAAGAAGAAATTTCATACGACTATGATTATGTTACCATTTCATAGCCTGTAACAATTCCAAGGGTCATGAGTTAGTAAGTCTTTGAGCTAATTACAAACCAAGAGACTCAGATAGCTTCCAAGAAATGATTTTATGCTTAATCACTCTCCACTTATGTTGTTGTTTGTTTGTTTCAAAAGTATCTGTGTGCTTCATTTAAAGGTTTGTAGCAGAGCACTTAAGCTGTCAAAATGTGGCTTAGTGTCATTTTTCTATAAATTGGTGAACAGAATATGGTCCACATCTTTAGGTCTCTGCCATTAGACTACATGTTATATTAGAGTTTAAAAAAATGGAAAGAACTCTATGCTTACGAAGATGTTAATGGAGGAAATGGATAAAATGTTAAAGAAATACAGGAAGGTAAAGTCAGAGATTATGGCCATCTATAAAGAAATTTAGAAAGAAAAGGTCAAATAGATTATGGCCACATGAAAATAATAGAGGATGATACGGTCAAACAATTAATCGCCTTTAGAGAAGAAATAATTAAATCATTGAAAGAAATAAAGGAAAAAGAGGTAAGGTCAAACAAACAGGTGAAAATATTGAAGGAAAAGCAGGATAATACAAACTGGCAAGTGAAGGAAATCAACAAAATGGTTCAAGAGCTCAAGATAGAAATGGAAAAAATTAAAGAAAACAAAACTAAGGAAATCATGGAGTGGGAGAACATTGTGAAGAAAACAGGATTACAAGAGATGGAAGAAAGAATCTCAGTTGTTCATAACCAAACCTTCGGCAGAGTGCAGGGAATCAAAAAAATAAAAGGGGGGGGAGTTAATATGACCTGGAGAGGACAGTAGTTCCACAAGGACCAAATATGTCTGGGCACAGTGGCCTTTTATGAGACTGTTTCTCCAAACAAGGACCATGTATGGATGCAACCTAGAACCTCTGCTCAGATGTAGCCCTTGGTAGCTCAGTATCCAAGTGGGTACCTTAATTAGGGGAACAGGGACTACTTCAGACATGAACTCAATGGTGGGCTCTTGGACCTTTCCCCCTCCTCCCAGAAGGAGGAGCAGCCTTGCTAGGCCACAGAGGATGATTTGCAGCCAGTCCTGAAGATACCTGATAAACCAGTATCAGATGAAATGGGAGGAGGTTCTCCCTTATCAGTGGACTTGGAAAGGGGCAGGGAGGAGATGAGGGTGGGAGGGTGGGATTGGGAGGGAAAGGGGGAGGGAGATACAGCAGGAATACAAAGTTAACAAACTGTAAATAATATTAAAAATAAAAATTAAAAAAAGAATCTCAGTTGTTGAAGATACAACGGAAGACATTGATGGATCAGTCAAAGAAAATGTTAAATCTAAAAATTTCCTTATGCATCCGAGAAATCCAAGACAACATGAAAAGGCAAAATCTAAGAATAATAGGAACAGAGGGAAAAAAAGGAGATTCCCTCTCCAAAGTCAAGACTTTTTTTTTCAACAAAATCATAGAAGAAAATTTCCCCAGTTTAATGGAGAGGCATAAACATAACCCAGGATTCTGTTGCAAATACAAGAAACACACCTAAGTAAAAAAATATAGATTTTACCTGACAGTAAAGGGCTGGAAGATGATTTTCAAAGCAAATAGACCCAAGAAGCAAAAGAAGTAGTTATTTTACTACCTAATAAATTAGTCTTTCAACTGAAATTAATCAAAAGAGATGGAGAGAGATACTTCATTCTTATCAAAAGAAAAATTCACAATGAAGACATCACAATCCTGAATATTTATGCCCCCACCAAAAGGGCACCTCAGTTCATAAACATAAAATTATTAAAGCTTAAATCACACATTGTTTCAAAATAATTTGCAGTGGGAAACTTAAAACCCCACTCTCACTACAGGACAGATCATTGGGACAGAAACTAATTAGAGAAATAATGACACAGAGATCCTAAATAAAATGGAACTAATAGTTGTAAGCAGATCTTTCACTAAAACAAAAAAGAGTATATCTTCTTCTCAGCACCCCAGAGAACCTTCTCTAAAATTGAACGTATAGCTGGCCACAAAGAAAGCCTCCACAGACAGAACAAGATTGAAATGAACACTGTTATTCTATCAGACCACCATGGTTTAAAACTAGACCTCAACAACAACAGAAATAACAAAAATCCTACATGGAAACAAAGCAACTCTCTACTAAAAAACAACTGGGTCAGGGAAGAAATAAAGAAATTAAAGACTTCCTAGAATTCAATGAAAATGAAGGCACAACTTACCCAAACTTATGGGACACAATGAAAGCCATGCTAAGAGGAAGGTTCATAGCACTAAGTGCCTTCATAAAGATATTCAAGGCATCTCAAGCAACTTTACTGCACACCTGAAAGCCTTAGAAAAATAAGAAACTGTCACAGCCAATAGGAGTAGACATCCAGAAATAATCAAACACACAGCTGAAATCAATGAATTAGAAACAAAGAGAAAAATTCAAAGAATCAACGAAACCAAAAGCTGTTTTTTGAGAAAATCTATAAGATATACAAACCCTTAGCCAAACTAACTAAAAAGCAGAGAGACACTATCCCAATCAACAAAATAAGAAATATAAAGGGGGGCATAACAAAAAACACCAAGGAAATCCAAATAATTATTATGTCTTACTTCAAAAGCATATACACCACAAAATTTGAAAATCTAAATGAAATGAAGCATTTTTTTGATTGATTCTGCTTACCAAAGCTGATTCAAGAACAAATAAATAAGTTAAATAGTCCTATATCCCGTAAGGAAACATAAGCAGTCATCAAAACTCTCTCATCCAAAAAAAAAAAAAAAAAGAAAAAAAGCACAGAGCCAGATGATTTCAGTGCAGAGTTCACCCAGACCTTGAAATAAAATCTAACACTAATACTCTTCAAACTATTTCACAAAATAGAAACAGAAGAAACACACATTAGCAAACTCATTCTATGAAGCCACAGTCAACTTGATACCTAAACCTCACAAGACCCAACAAAGAACGAGAATTCAGGCAAATCTCCCTTATGTACATTGATGCAAAAATATTCAACAAAATACTGTCAAGCTTAATCAATGATCACATCCAATAGATCATCCGCTATGACCAAGTAGGCTTCATCCCA